CCTCTCTCTCTCTCTCTCTCTCTCTCTCTCTCTCGCTACGTACGTTCATCCATCTTGGAACAGACTGGCATGCTCTCACCGACGATCGGAAAGTAGCCTGGGAATTAAAACAATCCACCAGCCGGTCAGCCTTGCCTCTGTTGATTTTACCGTGTCCTCCCGCGCTTCCGCGTCGCGTTCGTTATACAGAGTGTCCCGGACCTGACACGCAATTTCTCACGCAGATTCCAGGACGTATTTAAAATCGATTTTTCCCTTGTAAAATGATCTGACGAGACACCGTCGCTTGTGATTCTAGCATTATTCAATTCTAGCGTTGAACATTTCGACGATACAGTTTTCAATTAAAACTTCGATAAAAAGAAAATATCGCTACTATTTATAAATTCGAATTTATATAACCATTCACCTAATTCTCGAATGTAGTTGTAATGATCATTTTGCAAATGGATTGGCTAAAAATTGGAGTACCATAAAGAAATAAAGCGATGAAATGTATTGCCGTAGTCGCTGATTTGGAAAATGAATTTTATAATCTGGGAAACTGACATCTGACGTAGCAGCCGCTTAAAGCTAAGTATAAAATTTAACTAATGAATAATTAACCATTACTTTATTGCTATGAGATATGAAAGAAGTCTAGATGTAAGCATCACGTTACATGCCATTTCGAAATTATATTATTTTTCATATAATAAAAAAATTTTTAATTTATTCAAGAGAGAGAAAGAGGTAATCGTTGTTATCTTCGAAATTTATAACATTTTAATCAAAGATCTAAATTCTTTTATTTGAATTAATCTGCTTACTGCGCGAAGAAAAATTACTATAAAATTTATATTTAAATAATATCCGTTATTGATATTCATAACAATTTATTTCGTAGGTAAAAAAACAAGAAAAAAAAAAAACTTTTTCGTCTGAGAATTTAAAAGAGGAAAGAGATAAAAGTACATCTCCTTGCATGAGTCCGCGGTGACTTGTTCATTATCTTGAACGGCATACTTTGTGGTCCCATACCGACCACAATGTCGCGGGGAAGTGAACGCGTGAAAGGATTCGAGGGTTGCATTTGCCTCAGCACAGTAGTGCATACAAATTTATGGAGCGACGCGCGTCCCAAGAGTGAGAGAAGGAGAAGAGAGAGAGAGAGAGAGAGAGAGAGAGAGAGAGAGAGAGAGAGACATCAAACACGTGCAGCATCTTCGAGAGGGCACGGACCGGTTCCCGCATAACAAACTGCTGCGGACGGTGATTTTTCCTTGCTCGAAATGCCGCGCGTTCCGCGATCGCACTTTTGGAACGTGAGTTGGCCACGTGTGCCATCGATCCGCCATTTAGAGCGATGGCGCGGGATCGGCGTACGTCTCTTCCTATTTCGTCGGGATTCGTCGAAAGAGAAAAATCGCATACGTCACGTGTACCATTAAAAAGACATACAATTTGCAAAATCACGCGTTGTATGGAGCTTACAAAAATTGTTAATAAATTGCGCTCTTTTTCGATAAACATGCACGTGGCAGCGAATAAGATTTCGTAGAAAACGTAGAAACATCGCAAAAAAATTTAATCCACGACAAATTTTGAAAAATATTTCCGTCTGAAAAGCCTGAATGTAATGCAACGTAATTAAATTAGATAAATTAAATTAGGTTAATTTAAATTACTCGACGATGATTAGAAAAAATTAAGAACATTGTGTTCTTTCTTCTTAATTTCGATCCAGCGCAAGTGACTTATTTTGATCATAACAGATTCCGATTTTGAGGGTAGCGTTTTTTTGCGGTGCGGGGAATGCGCGCATCTTCATGCATCGTTACGCGCCGGGCCGCATTGCACACGAGTGCAGTGATTTATGACCACCGTGGTGGCTCCAATAAAGCATCGGACTACTTATGAATCACCGTTATTCTCATTGCAGCCTCGTGACACTTCGCTGAATCTATGGAATCTCATATATGGACATTCTTTCCTCTTTTGCAACTTGCGCGCATTAATCAAAACTTATAAAAGCGCAGGTTCTTGAAATACACTCAAAATAAAGGCGCATTATGTAACGCAAACGTGAATTGTAAAATAAGAATTATTATGATCGTTATATAAAAGATCTAAAAGAAAATCTAAAAGAATTGTATCGTGTAATGTCACAAGCGCGATTGGCCTTCTCAGTGAATTTTCACTTTTAAAAAAATTCTTTAATAAAACTTAAAAATCTCTTTATAAGTTTTCCTCGATTAGCTAAAAGTAAAGTGAACAAAATATATAAAAATACAATAATCTTACCTGATTATTCGCCCTCGCCGCGTTGCTGAGGTCTCTCTGTAGAGAGGGCAAGGTGTGTTTGAGATACGGCAAGACGAAGCTTCTGAGCGGGAAATTGGTCGCCTCTTGCAACGCGGAGTGAAACTCTTCCGCGGTCATGCTGCCGCTCTGCAATTAACGATATGGCAAACGCCGCGTGTAATTCAATTCTTGACAAAAAGATCGGATCCCGGAGCGAAACGCGTTCCCGGAACGAGTTGCGCGCGCGGCTTTGGTTGGATTTGGTTTTGCGTTTGTCACGTGCCGCGATCGTTTTACAGTTAAGCACGGTCACCAGATGTCACGTTTCCGGGACGTATGCACGCTCGGTACACACGACGACATTATGCATTATGTACGTACTTTGAATATTTACGAGCTGTTTAACGACACGGTACGGCCGGCATCGATTAACTATGCTTTTTTTCATCTCGTGCCGCGTGCACGCATGCACATTGCGGAATCGTTATCTGACGCTTGTTAGTTACAACCGGACCACGAATTTTCATGACGTAATCATTGCCGAAATGTAACGGATGAAATGTCGTTAAAAAAATATATTTAAATGTAGAAATGATCGGCCTCAGGTTTATCGCGACAAATTTTTCGTCGATACAAAATTGATGACTCTCCTGTCGAATTGAAAAAAAACGTTAATCAATTTTAATGATAATTTGAAAGCAATATCTGCTACGGAGAGAGATGCTTGTGATTTACTCTACGCAAAAGTATGCTGATGCATACTACAAATCCCGCGATTTTAGCACGCGACAGAAAACTCCGTTAAATTACGCGTATATTACTTATTGTTGGCATTGAAAGAGTTCGTAAATCCAGAAAGATCTTACGTGCTCGTAAGAGGATGCTCGTGAAATGTATGGTGCAATGTGAGATAAGCTGAGATTGCGACATGAGCTAACGGCTCATGAGCTCAAAGTATCACAGTAAATATCACGTAAATTATAACAAGCTTCATGAAAATATTGATATAAAATTAAATAAAAAATTTTTTATATTAATCCTAATTATACTTATGCTTATATAATATTATATATTCTATCGACTAAAGATTCTTAACTGTATATGTTAATTTCAGATATTTTTTTAGTAACATTTGTTATCAAAAAAGTACCTCAAATTAAAATTAATTAAATTAAATTTATATGAATTAATAATGGAAATCACTAGATATGGATATTGTTTATATTTACCAGAAGCGCAAGTACCAGGGTGCGCACCGTGTCCCCCGTGTCTGCTGAGATATCAGTGGCGAATTGCACCAGGGTACCCAGCAATCTCTTAAGTTTGCTGTGTCCTGCAAAAATGCCACTGACGCATCTAGATGCACCGGCAGTACCATTTGCCAGTGCGACGCCATCAGTTTGTTCATCCGTCCTGGACGCAGCATTTCCAGCACCTGGAGCACCCTCTTCGAGCTCAGGCTTGAGCGACTGCGAGGGCAAAGGGCTGTCGTTATCAGAAGACCTGGAGCAACCGGACGCGCCTTTGTATTCCGATCGAGGGCCGTTCGTTTGCTTCTGCTGACCGATCCTTTGATGCTGAGAGGAGGGCGAGTGCGCCTCCGGCTGGACCGCTTCCTCCCGCGAAGATTTCTCCCGCGTTGTGGAGGATGCTACAATGAGATGGCCTTCGAGTATCTCATTTTTTAGAAACATTTACAATGTTGTTCAAAGTTGAATATTTACAATTTCCGAAATCAAATTTGATATATTGCGAGCTAAAATCGATTTATACAAAAAGTAATTTTTTTTATTTATTCATTTATAAAACTGTTCAATTAGCTATAAATATCTATTAATTTATTATAATTATAAATTTATTAAACGATTAAAAGAAGATCTCATATATATATATATATATATATATCACA